GGTTGGGAGTGGCCACTGTAGTTTCCGGAGCAACACATGATTACCCTTGCTCAAGAACTAGGCACTGGACACTGGACAGTGGCCACCAGTAATAATGATGTGTGTCGTGATTTTGTATGTGATATTTTGTATTTTTTATGTACTTAAGTATTCAGGTAATTGTATAATTTAAGAACTAACTACTGTAAAACTAACTACCCACGGATATCAATTAAGATTTTCTAGTATTTATAGTTAGTAAGTTTCTACTGAAGAAAAGAAATGACAGCAAGACTGTCGTCAGTTGTTTACCATTGTAGTAGTTGCGGTCGAAAACAATATATTATGATCTGAGCCCCAAGGTAACCGTGAATCAATGTTCCACACCTAACAGAAGGTGTGCCATGCAGTAGAGCGGGGTGGTGAGGTTTGAATCGGTGCGCGCTTCCGTTTGCCGCGTGCGAAAACCTTGGGGAGCCAAATAAAAAACTACCTCACGCAAAGCAAACATAACGCAAAAAAAAGAAAATTCTAAAAGGCCTCCCAGGAAGTTGTGATACAGAAATCAGCACCGCACTCCAAGAGGGTACTAAATAAGCTAACAAATCAAACAACCCCTGGGAATCGGCAGGAGCGTTCCGAAATAACGAAAACAGCTCAAATCGAAATGAAGACGCCTACGCACACCCCTCCCCCCCCTCCTTCTACCTTTTTGTGCTGGGAATCGCGAGCTGAATGCTATCGTGCATTAGCTCCACTTTCCGACGTTTGGGAGTATCGTCACAGCTGTCAAGGATGTTGAAAAAGATCTTCTTCTCTTTGAGCCCAAAATTATGACGGTTAGCGTGCTCCGCAAAATTTTTGTTTCATTTTGTGTAACGCCCGCTCTCGCAGCCTGAATTCAATGCATTCAAAGCGGTTTAAATCAAAACCAGAAAAATGGAGTTAATAATGTATGACAGCACTTAGTAAGCGAATATCAAAAACAAAAAAAGAAGAAGAAAAATGATCGATTTGACTGCAAAAATATAAGCGTCCCAGTCAACTTAATTAAATGCGGGCTGCCTCGACCCTAAGACAGGCGGAGTGATATACAAGAGAAGGACGGAGAAATCTTATAAACTAGACCCCGTCATCCGAGAGTCAAAGATGCATTTTGCGTGCAACGACACAGCGCCAAACCACTACACCGTAAATGTCGATCTGCTGAAAAAATAAAGAGGGAACTGAATTTTAAGCAAGAGAGAGGGGGGGGGAGAG